GCACAATGCCGCACGGCAGGCACGCTCCATCGAGGTTCGTGATGACGCGGGCAACGGCGTGAAGTGGTTCCCCATGGGCAACGACGAATGGAAAACGAGCCCGGGGGGGAACGCAATTCTGAGCAGAGCACAAAGACAAATATCCCCCGTATAGTCTTAAGAGACTGTGAGTGGCAAACACCATCGTTTAATGATATTTCAATTAACGATCCGCCTCCCATAAGGTCCCCATTGTTTCTACTAATGATGCATTTTCGATTAACAATACATTTACGATATCACGCGGCCGCCGGTTTTGGCCAATCGGAGCGCTCCTAAGTGGACTCAGCAGACCTCAGCCAATCAGTGTCGCTCTTTTATGAGCGTTTTGAGAGTAACTTGCTGTTAGCTTTTCAATGTTTCATGTTCGGTGCTTATGGAAACAGCTCTCTTGAATATTTAAGTGTTATTTTTACTTAAAAGTCAAATAAGATCAATAACAATGGCCCCTAAAATGAATGTGAAAAAAGCCATACATTTTCTTAGCCTAAGGTAAGAATTTTTATGTTATGCTCAATCTATGCACCTTTTTATGCTATGTTTTTAGAGTGAAAAAGGTCAACTTACGATCGTCTTGGAACAAATTAAGCCTTTAAAAAGTATTTCCTATATTCGATTAACAATAATTTCAATTAACGATGGTTTTCGTGGAACCAATTAATATCGTTAACCGTGGAACCATTGTATACGCACGGCAATAATACATATGTACGTTTTTGGACTTCTTTAGCATCATACATAACAAACTGTGCTCATTGGAAGTCTGGATAGGCACTTGTTTAAGGCCGAGTCGACCTAGGGGAGGCCCAATGGTAGTTCAAATTTTTGCCAAAAGTTATCGGACGTGAGTGGGAATCAAACTAGGTTCGCCGGGTTTGAAGCGCAGTGCGCTAACCACCGCACAACCGCTCCCATGAGCATAGCAGAGAACAGGCACCTACACAGAAACACACACATTAACTAAACCAGGTTTCTCTCGCTCTCCTTTCACGGATACAAATAAATGAAAACTGTGCAGTAGCAGATTTTAATTAGGTGAGAACTAAGGTTAAAATATATTCCATTTCTTAATTACTGCAGTCAATAAAAAAATAAAATCCTCGTTGTAATACCACGTATACATGGTGTCAGCAGTTCTAATTCATATAGATGGGGAACAATAAACCCTCTTCCGTGAAATGGCGCACACAAAGATCCCCCGTATTGCCTTACCAGACTTTAGTGGCAAGTGCTGTTAGCAAGCACCTATGAGCGGGGTGGGTGGCCAGCACCACTGCCCAACCGCTGTTATCTCCGCAGTGGCGATGTTTACACAGTGCGCCAAGTGCTTATTTGAGGCTGAGTCGACCTAGGGGAGACCCAGGACCAGTTCAGATAATCGTCACTGGCGTTGGCCGTGAGCAGAAATGAAACTCGGGTCGCCGGGTTCGTAGCACAGTGCACTACCGCTGCACTACCGCTCCCTCCTTTAAGTGCATTGGTGAAGTCAGAATTATCCTTTGGAGCACTAGTTCTCTGCGACTCACATTTGAACACCAAACTTCCCCTTACCCAATCCGGCCCCCCTCACAGCCGTCACCCCCTCTGACTCGGGAGGACGCGAGGCCCTTGGGCTCGGGTGGTTGGGGATCCTGTTTCTATTTCCCATCCTGGTCCGCCCATTCCGATGAGCGCTTGCGCATCTCATCACCTGACGTCCTCGAGCCAAGCGGTCACATGGCAGTAGGTACACCATCCCACCCTGCTCTGCACTACCCATCGTTTCGCACCTCCAATTAGCACGTTTGGCTATGTACGGTGCAAAATAAGTTCAACGTACCCCATCTTCACACACTCAAGTCAGAGTTTTATTCTTCATTTATATAAAACAAATATTTTACCCGCCCGATTCTTGTATTGGCGTCATGTCATAAAAAAAATCTGTTCCGATTTCTCGCAGAGCAGTGCAATTCATCATATTAGACAACGGCAAATGGAAGCGGATATCACAGAGTTACCTTTGAGATCAGTTCAGTGACCTCTAATCCACACAGTAGGGGGCAACACATTCCCACTTGCCCTGCCACCATGTTCATCGCATGACAGTCAAAACTATATTTAAATTTTTCCCAAATCTCTCAGGCATTTAGGAAAATAAATTCAAGAACCAGTCTAATTACAGGCAGTGGCTGAAGCCTGGATTCAAAGCCACGATCCCCGCGGTGCCGGCTCAGCGCTCTGACCTTCGAACCATCCGGCCACCTCAAAGTTTTTGTAGAAAAAATGCACATCTCCTACCCGGCATAGAGCCCTCACACTTGCGTCCGTGCCACTGTGACGAACGTGGGATGCACGCGATCCTGCTCCCTAAGTAGGTCAGATGCCTCGAAGGAGACCACGGCTAGCGCGGCAGTGCCAGCGGCAGCAGCGGCGCGCAGGAATTTCATCAGCGCCGCGGCTAATTGCACCGACGGTGCCAAAGCTCATCTGGCTCTCGGCAAAAACCCGGAGCGCGCTGCCTGCCTACCTGCCGCACTTAGGCCCCCAAGAGCCTACAGTGTCACCCAGAATACCAATGACCTTCTGCCTTCATCGTCCGAGGCCATTTTATATGCCGCGGCCGGGTGAAGGTCACCCCATCTCGCAGCCTCTGCCTGCACTCCTGTGTGGCCGTGAATATCGTTTTGCTCGCTCCGGGGGGCGTGGATATGTCACGTTTAATGACCCCTATTTAAATAATGTGCTGTTGCGGAGAGCTATTCAGGGTGCTGCGGCTCTGATCGGTGACTAAAGCCTCATTCATCTGATTCACTGAGCAAGAGCCCTTCACATATTCACAGCAAAGCAGATTAATTTAAATTGCTCATGAAGTTCTTGCTGCTGGTATTTACAAACGGTGTTTCTTTGTGTGTCTGTAATAATGCCGCTGTTATGGGCTGTGGGTTCAGGTCGGGTGAGATAACACAGAGCAATCATAGAACAGTCATTGACTGCAGCCTGACTGCCACTTTCCCCATTGCCCCGATAACCGGATTCCTAAAAAAGACGAAAATTCAGTCGATGAACACAAATCATTGCATGCAATATTGTGAGCATGATAATATACGAGGACACTGAAACTTATTAACTCGTTACCATTACAAAACGATCAATATTGGTATTTCTACAGTTAAAGTTCATGCCATTATTGCCACATACTACCAAGGCTAAAGTTCATGACAACGAATCTGTGCCGAGGCCTTAAATAGAGAGAGGGGGGAGGGGCCGGGGCAGAGAGAGGACTGGGGAGGCGGACGCACGAGAGGGGACCAGCAGGCAAACGAGGGGACAAGGAGGGAGCAGTGTGGAATTCCGGACCACAGTGGCCGGAGGAGAGACAATGGTTTAGAGCAAGTAAATCGAAAGTTTGAGAAAGTAAATTTAGGAAAATGAAGAAGTGTAATGCAATGCAACACAGAGGGTCGGTGAACACACAGTTAACACATAGCCTGGTTGATTAACTGCTCCCTCCTTGTCCTCCTCGTTTGTCTGTCTCCCCAGTCCTCTCTCTGCCCCGGTCCCTCCCCCCTCTCTCTATTTAAGGCCTCGGCACAGATTCGTTGTCTTTCTGTTTGTCTTGGTGTGTGTCTCGCTAGGTGTGTCTCTGTATGTGTGTCTGCCTATGTTGTTTCCGTGTCTGTGTTTTATCATTCATTCTTACCTGATGATGGCTGCTTGTGTTGCAACTGAAAGGTCGTATTCAATTATTATTTGATTTGATTTTCTACGTGACTTTACCGAAAGAACCAAAGAGTAATTCCTGCAGTCACGAAAGCTTCGAATCTAGTTTTCATGACATTGCTCTTCCGACTTTAATCACGAGTCCCACCAGAATAACCACCTCCGTTGCAGCAGTGGTGAATAAAACAATATTTTTTTATTCTTCTGTGTTGATGAGCGACAGGGGGGTATGAGAAGAAAAACAGGGTGACAAAACGTGCTTGCGCAACGCTCGGGCGGATAAGCATGCAATAAAACGCGCCAATTTATTGCAGCGTTAAGGGCTAAACTGTTCACCCACGACCTTTAAACCGAGTACCTCCGCGTAACACAGCGGCAGCAGCGGTGACAGGAGCAGCAGCAGCCGGCGCGACGCAAACACCAGCCCTGCGGCCTGTCAGGCCCTTGGCCATGTCCCGCGCAATGGAACGTGGCGCCTGGTGCGCTTGCGATTGTCGCTCAGCAACGAACAGAGGGGCAGAGGAAAACGCACGATCGTGGAACTCGGAGAGCCGCATGCGGGTCCCTTGAGCGAGTTAATCGCTGGAGATACTCGGCAAAATCTTTGGCAGTGATTGCGCCTGGCAGTGGCTGGAAGTGACCTTGAAGTATGTACACATGCGTGCGTGTATGCGTGTCGTGTAGCGGTAATGTAGCGGTTAGTGTGCTGCGCTACAAACCCGGCGACCCGAGTTTGATTGCCACTCACGGCCAACACTATTGACGCTTATTTGAACCGGTATTGGGCCTTCCCTAGGTGGACTCCGCATCAAATGAGTACCTAGAACGATGTGTAAAAATCGCCACTGCGGAGACAAAGGCGGCCGGACATGGGGTTAGCCACACTGCCGCCCGTGTGCCATGCAGACTTTCATAGGTGCTCGCTAATAGTACTTGCCCCAACAGTTTGTTACGGCTATAGGGAGATTTTTGTTTGTGCGTGTTTATATGCACGCATGTGTGTATATAAGCGCGCGTCTGCGTGTGTGCACGTGTATGTACATTCACGCATATGTAAATGTGCATGTGTGTAGATATGCACGTCTGCGCATGTGTGCGCATGTACATGCACGTGTGTACATTCGCGCATGTCAGCGTGTGTACACGTGCATGTGTGTGTACATACATGCGTGTCTGTGCGTGTGCACTTGTACACGTGCATGTGTGTATGTGCATGTGTGTGTACATACATACACACATGCCTGCGTGTGTGCGTGCGTTACCGCGTGGCAGGGCTCGAGGCCGAGCCCGCTGTCCCCCATCGTGTAACGAGTGGCGTTGCGCGACGCCTCCCCGGGGGCCTCGCTACGGCTGCTTTAGGTTGTGGCAGAAGATGAGTCTGTAATTCCTCATTGACGGCGGCACGGCGCTTGCTGGGGGGTCGGCTAGCTGGCCCTCCACACGACTCAACACGGCTCTGTGGGACAAGCAGCACACAGGGCAGGGGGGGGAAGTGAGGGCACAATGCGTTACATTGGCAGCTCCTGACCTGCACAGTGCAGGAAAAATTAACGAATGCGCGCGGGGTGCGTCAGCGCCACGTCGCGGCGACAGAGCACATGAAAGAACAACGTGAAGTTAGTGGGGGGGGGGGGGGGAGTTTTGCGGATCTTGAATGAGGTGCCGCCATTCGGAGACGGTAGAGAGCCACTGCATTCGATGGACTGCCACGTTCCTGCCAAAATCTATGCCTCATGCCAAATTGGCAGCGGTGGCGGTGCACAGGCAGACTGGAGGTCCGGCTGTCAAGCCATGCCCCGTACTCAGGGTTGCGATGGTTCACTCACTCGTGGGTGGCAGTTGACTGAGATGAAGTTATTCAAATCAAGCGATGAGGGGTTCAAGTTCGCAGTGAAAACGTTAAAACTACGCGTGGAGTACGGCCACAGCAGGCGCTCGTGACAGTGAGCCCTCCCTACTTGCGGTGAAAGCCACGAAGCGCCTTCATCATAGTCAATGACTAATTAAACAACCATCCAACAAAAGTGAGCCAAGTGAAATGTACAAATTTTGGTTTATTTAAAAATAGATTAAAAGTATCAGGCTAATGAAGTAACTTGAAAGTTAAAGCACTTACCTCCTCGGCCAGGGAATGTAGAGAATGGAATGTTTTAACTCCCAGCCCCCCACCCCCAAAGCCCTGGGGAGCAGCCTGGCAGCCCGGTATTCGAGCGACGGGGCTCTCTCTCCCGATGACCTCCTTGACCTTCGCATGGGGAAGGGTACGTTCCGCTCACCTGACGTGCCACATCCCAATCAGCTGCGCAGCCTTCCCGGATCCCACCTCTCCCTGCGGTACGATTGCAATGCTGGAGATGTGCTCCTCGTGAATTTTATTAAAACGCTCCGGCCAAACGCCACTCCAACCACTCTCGCAATGCGCGGCACCTGTGGTTCACGAGGCGCACTCGTGCCGCCGGCAATGAAGGCCAGGCGGGGCCTGTCTAAGCCATCTGTGGGGAATTTGGATGGAGCTCAGGAAACGTGCGGAGGCACACAATGGGCCGCTCGCACAACTACACGGGTACACGGCCGACCCCGTGCGTTAGCGGAGCAGGACAGGCCGCTCACACGCTCGGGCATTCCCCTCCGTTTCTTGACCGAACTGGTGATCACACAGGAAGCATCAAGCTATTTTAAGTCAGAGTAATTGGGCGACCACATCATCATTATCTGCACCATTCGCGATGATCTATCCACTGCCGGATGAAGGCCTCCCTAAGCCACTGCCAGCTCTCATAGTACCACAATAACAATCCACCCAGCACCTACACGCGAGATAATTTAATTACTCCATCTCCGTAGCTGATGTCCTCTTGGGTGTGTTACACCTGCTCTTGGCTGCCTCTGTCTTAAGTCTCGACCACTGGCCATCGTCCATTCTAGCCATGACGTGTCCTGCCCAAGCCCACTCACATCTCTTAAAGGTCTATATGATGTCTCTAATTTGTTCTCTAATCCACGAGTTCCTCCTTCTGTCCTCTAAATGTAAATCCAAGCACGTGCCTTTGCATGCCTCGTTGTATACTTTAGAGCTTGTGTTCCATTTCTCTTTCTATGTTTCCGATCCATATTCACAAGTACTGTAGTTAAACGTTGACCGCTCAGAAACACCGCTGTAACGGTGCATGTTCCGCATTGTGCGACGGGTTCCCTAATAGAAGAACCACATTATAGCAAAAATATGTTGTGTGAACACCGCTAAGCAAGGAGTGACCGTATGTCACATGTCATGCAGTACAATGCATCCAATTAGGTGACATTTTTAGAAATCTATTGAAATACAAGTCAAGTGAATGTTACACAAGCTGGCTGGGCATAGGTGGTACATGCCTGCAGTCGAGCCCTCGAGAGGGAAATGTGAGTGGATCAGGCACATTTGTTAAACTCACAAACCCACGAGTCCCGCACGGTTGTGAGAACCCCGCTGTAAGGAGCATTGCCACCCCCCTCGTATCTCAAATGATTCCGGGTTCTGAAGTCTCATACGACTAGAATGGTCAAACAGCCCCTGTGACCCACACGGAGTGAGGAGGCCTTCATCGGGCAGTGGATTGCCCACGTTGCAAAGCGTTCACTAACATGGGAATAAACAAAACATTCCAACTATGGAGGACCCTTATGAAGAAGCAACTTGACATGATTACAGTACATTTGGATTGTAATCACCCTGCACGTGCTATACCCATAGCAGGATTTAACAATAACCACGCAGCCTGGTTGCGCATAAACACACATGACCCTGAGACGGTGATGCCCTTGTTAGGCTCGCTACTATGCTGCCATGTTAGTAAGCATCTATTTTGGCCAGCGTGGCACACATGGGGAGACGGCCAGGACCGATTCTGCACTTGCCCCCCTAACTGGTGTAGAGAGGCTGGGCGTGTTGACACATGGCTCACACAAGGCTCCACCACCCTCAGACAAAGCTCCCCCATGTAGCCTCGACAGACTGTTGGGGCAAGCGTTGTTAGCGAGAACCTATGAAGATTAGGATGGCGCACAAGAGGGTAGAGTGGCCAGCATCAAACCCGGCCACCTTTGTCTCCCTAGCGCTGATATCGATGCACGACACCAAATATCAATTGATGTCCAAGTCGACATAGGGGAGGCCCAGGACCTGTTCAGATTATTCGTCACCGATGTTGGCTGTGAGCGACAAATCAAACTTCGGTTGCTGGGTTAATAGCGCAGTGTGCTAATCCACTGCGCCACTGCTCCCCCAAACTACAATTTTTTTTTTATTTTACTAGGTCCACTGAGCCGTGAAGCGATTTTTCAGAAGCGACTTGGCCACAATTGATAGCTAAACGAAGTTGGCTTAACATGTGGAAATTTATAGCAGCCAAATACTCTAAACGCATGTTTCGAAATGTGGCGGGAAATATTGGAGGACTCGGAGAAAAATTAATGCGACCACAGGGAGAACAGCTCTAAATATACAGGTGTCAGGGTCAGGATGGAACCCCCCGACCTCCTGTATACAAGGCAAGGTAGTTAACATCTCCTAGCCACCGTGGCACCCACAAACACAGACACGCACTGCTGAAGGTGACTCCATTAAAGCTGAACGAGCGGCCGGTGAGCGACATTTCCACGTGGCCGCGGGGCTCAGGGACCGTCGCCACAATCGAGGCAGCTTCTCAGTAAATAAACGTGGGGCGCCTCGCTCAGTCCAGCAGCAGCAGCGCCCGCGCACCAACAAATGAAACCACTGGGCTACACCGCTATCTCCGAGGACACTCTTCAAGGATATGGCCATGGTGGATATGTCACCGAAGGGCAAGAGACTGATAAACACGGCCGTATAGTGAGCATAGCGGCATTGTGGAGTGAGCGTGTGTGACCTGACAATTGTCTTGTAAAAAAATAACGACTATAAACCTCTTTCAACATGTCCAGTCAATGCGGAAGAGTAGACCAAATACTCTCTAGCGCTCCCTCTAGTGGAGGCCCTGCACTCAGCAGCGGAGTGAGCAAGCAATTGCAGGGCTGCACCTTCGTCGTATTTTACTGTACACTAAAGATGCATGTGTGACGTAGCCTCGTACGGAGGGTGAAGTTAATGATGTCATCATCATCAGGCATGAGCAATCCACTACTGGATGAAGGCATCCCCAAGCAGTCGATATCCCTCAAGTTCAAGTGCGACACCTGGAACTAAAAGGATGAACTCTTTACAGAAAGTTGCATGTGCGAGAAGTGGATTGTAATTTAGTTTTTTGGATGGCGGCTATATTAATTGAGTTTTGTTGTAGGAAGGTGTTGAGTTCAAGAGATGTGTTGTTGATGCCGTTGATGTTTATAGTTGAATAATTTTTAGGTCGTTTTTGTTGTGGACGTTTTGTTGTGCTTGAAACGATGGTTGCGATGGATGAGGTGGTGGTGCTAGTGTGGTAGTGCAAGGTGGAGTTGTTGGAGTGGATGATGGACAATATTTGCAGAACCAGCCAGAATTTGAACTGGGGATGCGGGCTAAAGTAGTGCAGCAGCGTTTGCGGTACCAAGCTTTACCACCGTTGCATTGGATATAATTTGCATTGACGTTCTTGCCGCAGCCGCCACAAGGGAAAAACGGGGCCTGGATTCAATTCGACGTCTCCAGCAATAATGAGAAGCCAGCTCCAGTATGCCGAGAGGGAGGCCTGGGCTGGCTGGCGAAAAGACAGTAAAATGCGAGGGGTGATGTTGCCATTTGCAAGTGCTTTCATAGTACTTGGTCTCTCCACTTGGAACAAGCGGCAACACTGGAGAGACACGACAGGTCGGGTGATGATGCAACACGCATCCCGTAACAGAAGCATAAATCTGGAGGTGAATAAAAAAAAGCAACTTTCATGTTGTGCATCATAGCCACGCAGTCTTTCGCAACATCGGATTCAACAGTGTTTAATGTATTTAAAGCCTGCGTTCTTTTTATCAATAAGGTAATTTGCCTGTTAGCAAAGAGGCTACATCAACAAACACCGCAGTGCCGATGTTGGGTCTTGAGTTTTGTTGCTGACTTTGACAACGCGAGCTTTGTTTGTGCCGAGGGGCGTGGGAGAGACGGTGTGAAAGACAGCGCTGTTTATTGTGAGTGTTTAATGGATTCCAATATTAGCTGTTAGGAGCAGGCTACAACAGCCACAGCACAATTAAAAGTAATGTGGTTACCATAATGTCGTTGTCGGCAAGGCATGTCACATTTCTGGGCATACACTGATAATTATTACATAACAGCTAGTTTTAACATTAGGTTAAACTGGCATTGAACAGTATATACAATATTATTCCAATATTTAAGAATACATACCAAATTAAGAATACAAATTACGCTAAAAGTAACACATTAAACATATATCACCGTGTATATGAATTCTATGATAGGACAGTGCTATTTTACAGGACCGTAAGTATGTATTCGACAGCTAATAATAATGGATATACTCTAATTACTATTAACTGTGCGAAACAACATACATTAAATGTGCTCACCACCGCTCACCCCTGACAACGCACAGGCAAGCATGCTCATGCACTGATGGGGAATGATTCGAAATAATTGACACCACTTGTAGAACTAAAGCCAATTCTCATTAATTAATTCATTTTGAAATAAAGCACGCGTATGCGTGGCGCTGTTATGCATGCCGGTCGCGAGTGACAAGTTTGTAGGCGTTTGTTTCCAATCAATCCCTTTGAGTGTCCAATGCCTTATTAAACCGTGACTATGACAGCGATTAACAATACTGCCCAGTCTGCCTGTATAGCCATTATTGATCATGGCCATGAAGATTACATGATAATCATCATCAACAATGACAGCAGAAGGACATGTTGGCTTCAATCCAGCGACGTTATGAGTGTCATAATACAGGTGTTGTTGTCATGATATGATTGTCACGATCGCATGATTATATGATTGTTGTATGCTTAGGATTGGTATATTATGGCATGATGACGCCATTATATGATTACGATGTTATGAGGATTCTCAACTTTGCATCTCGCGAATCAATGAGATGCAGGAAATACGCATTTTAAATTCAACCCAGCACTACTGATCATGCTAAAGTTATGATAATCATGTCAGTCATGATCGCATGTCACACGGATGAAGTTGATCATGACAACACTGCATCACGGGAAATCGTAGCAGCAGTAGCAGGTTTTGATTTCAACAAAGTGCTGATGAAGATGTTATAGTGAATTATCGTTGGCAAAGAATCCGACAATTGCATAAGCGAACACCGCGACAGCTGCAGCAGCCTCGAGAGTTGAACCCTGCGCCCACGAAGCTGCTGCTACTGCTGCGAACCTGGATGCCATACTGAGGTTATTATGATCGTGACAATGATACCATTAGCATCACACGATGATGCCAAACACTGCATCACAGGCAGCCGTGATCGATGCAGCAGCAGCAGAAGCGTCTGATTTTGAATTCAGCCCGGTGCTGCTGCTGATGATGATGCTGCTGTTGATGATGATGATGCTGCTGCTGATGATGCTGCTGATGATGATGCTGCTGCTGATGATGCTGCTGCTGCTGATGATGATGCTGCTGCTGATGATGATGATGGGTGTGATCACGCCGAGTGATCATCGTAACGACATTGAGGCACCGCGTGACTGACAGATGCATGGGCAGCATCGCAGCAGAAAGAATCACGTCGTGAACTGTGCTCTGCCACACGCGCGGGCAGCGGAGGTGAGAAGCCCCCCCCCCCCGTCGCGTTCACATCCCAGACGATCTCAAGTGACGGGGGGGGAGGCCTTTAAGAATGAGAGACCCTCACGATCTTGGGCACCGCCGCTCGGTGCGAGTGAGGCCACGGGAGCGGCAGACACCGCGCCCCCACCATTTCTAGAATTCGCGACCCGGGGGGGGAGGAGGATGGTGATGAGGAGGATGGTGATGAGGATGGTGATGAGGAGGAGGATGAGGAGGATGGTGATGAGGAGGAGGATTGTGATGAGGAGGAGAGCGCGGCCGTGAACTCACGCGGGCAGGAAACCCGCCAGCGTCTCAAATCGCGAGTGCAAAGCACGAAGACAGCAATTGCGTGCCGTGCGACTGGTTAAGTAGTCAATAAATTAGAACAGCAGCAACAACAGCAGCAGCAACAGCAGCAGGAACATTCTCGACAACACGAGTCGACAGACCTGGAGCGACGGGGCGAGCTGCTGGACTCGTCGCTTGAATCCCAAGAAACGATCTCCTCCCTGCTCCAGTTTTTTTCTCACCCCCCCCCCCCCCGTGATCGAAATCCCCAGAGCGCTTAAGCGGCGGCGCGCTCCCATTGGTCGGCGTCCGCGCGTCCAGCCAATCGCGCGCAGTCCACCGTGAGGTGTCGACGCCTATCCGTGGTAGAGATTTCAAACAGGAGGGCGGAGTGAAAATCGAAGGTGGTGGGGGTATTTGGGGGGGGGGGGGTTGGCGATGAATCACGTGGTGCGCGAGGGGCGGGGTGGCGCCGGGGGGGGGCACCTCCCCTCACACACAAACAAATGACGTAATCGCTCTGCCTGCTGCTGCTGCGCCACGTGCTGGCCACGTGCTGCAAGTGCACGTGTTTTTTATACACAATCAGCCACGGTCTGTCCACACGCACTGCTGAAGGGCCTCCCTCCTTCCCCAGCCAAAGTCGGCGCCATCATCTCTCATGGTCATGTGTTGGATGCAGCGACAACATCCAGCACCCGCACACCGTGTGAGCTCATTTGTACGCTCCCTCTCCGTGGCGGACGCCCTTGCAGACCTTTGGCCGCCAATCCGTTCGTCTCGATCACTGGCATCGTTTTCTAGCCACGACGCGTCCTGCTCTTGACAGTCAATGACGATGTCCTCTAAATTGCCTCGCTTCGTGTAGTGTACGTATGTATTACTCAGCCGTGATCAACCCACTGCTGGATGAGGGCCTCCCCAACCCCACATCGCAATCCTGCAATTGGCAAACGAGAGCCAATCTCGGCGCTCCCGCGAAAGACACCGATTTGGAAACTTCCGCTCGCATGCCAGAGACGACGACGTGAATTCACATCGGCGTCACGGGTTATAAACGATCCGAC